TCATCTCCCCCGACCAATTTACAAGCGATCAACCTATCATACCTCGCTTCCGTGACAGAGCAGTCAGGAATGGCTTCAGGAATGACATCAAGATTTAGTGCGCATACAGTTTCGTTTTTAGAAGTATCCAGTTCGAGAGATCGTTGAACGATGGAGATAGCGTAGATGCAAAGAACCTGCAATATGTAAACAATTCGAAGCGTAGATGCAAAGAACCTGCAATAAACAATTTGAGGGTACCTCTTAGAGGCAGCAGACAGGCAAAATGGACTCTTCTCAGATTTTGGCAGAGTTAGGTAGTAGACCCACCAAGTACACGAAGCCCAACCATCCGCCAATTCACTTCCAATAAGTGGGCGTCATTGGTGGAGTTTTGAAGCGCATTTTTAGACCTGGCGCACGAATTGGCAGGAGGGGTTCGGGCTACGGCGAACTTGGGGCTACTGCCTAACTCCGCCAAAATCTGAGAAAGATCCATTTTGCCTTTCCACTTCCCTTTGAATGTTAGCAGCATTCATATAGCAAGCTGTTGACATCGCGAGCCAAGTAGGTATATCAATGTACCAACAAAGCAAGTGAGGAAGCGGAAGGTTGTCACTGAGCTTTTGCATGCAATCTAGACGTACCACAGCTGATTTTCCGCTCTGGACCATACTCAAAATTCTTGCAAGGATGGGAGTGGAGATATTCCCAAAGAAGGCCGTTCTAACACAAATCTAAACGTCTGCCTTGATAGCTAAGGAAATGCATCTTTGAGTAAAGTCTCCCCTCATCCCGGCAGGATGACATTCGAAGCGTGTGTACTGGAGAGAGGGTACGGTCAAACATGACTTCGCAGCGTTGATCCATTTGCAATCGCCTTTCAACCGCATCACGAACGAATTTCTGCTGGATACTTTCCCAGTCAGCTATGACCCCAATCATGTTGGAGATTTGCTTACGAATCTGAACAAATCGTGAACGATACATAAAAGAGCAACGCAGCAGACAGCAAACTAAGAATGGAGTTACCTTAGCATCAACTTCGAATGCTTGACCGGAGTCACCAGTCTTTATGGAAATCTAAAAAAAATTATTGTGCATCAAAAAACTAGCTCGACTAAGACACTTTCAAAGCTTACCAGCTTTTCCAAGAAAGAGCAAACTGTCAAATCGCTGTCCAGGCGGCTTGAAGACGACATTGACGTTAATGAGCTGGCATCAAGACCACTTCGTACGAAGTCCAGAAACTAAAGCGTAGTTTACTTTACTCAAAGACACCGTCAATCCAACAGCAAAAATG